AGTCACTGAGCACTGAGGGGAGCAACGAGGAGCTGGCGAATCGCGGACAATCGAATCGTGGTCCATCACGTCGGTTCGCCAAACACGGTTTTGCAACGATGGACGCGCGGATCACCCTTTTTGTCGGCCGTGGTTTCCTATATCGAGGCGAATCAAAGCCAAAGCGCTTGAAATTTTGGACAAACGCGAACGGTGAGCCAATTTTGAGAACACCTTTCGTACACACACCTTCAACACACGGCCATTGTAGGTCGGAGGAAAAGAGAAGAACCCAAGTAGGACGAGAGTTCGGCACATTCGACGTTCGGGAGGATCGTTCTTCGTATGTTTTTCAGACAGGACATCGTTCAACCTTCGTTGGAACAAGAATCGTTGCAACGATACAAAGCTAAGCGATGTCTAATGTCGAAACTTCGGACAATAATACCACGAATAGGGCACCGTGTGTCTCCCTCGAGCAATTCAACCTTTTAAGCTCTACTTACGAACGAAGATTCTCTTTCCTTTTGAAATTCTCCAACGTCGACGTTTGATCTTTAACAAGGAGACGTCTCGAGGGCAGGCATTCGCCTGCACTGCGAAAATTTAAGACACCAGCCGTCCGTTAAACTGTAAGCAATGAGCCTGTCGCGCCCATCACGATAACTGTTAGTTACCGCTACGGCTATTACGCGCGTTCACATTGACAGGTTTGACTCGAAGATCATCCCGTTTACGATGATGAGTTTAGCGAGAAATACAACGTACCATCAGTTTCGTTTCATTTGCTTTCTGTCTTGTACATCCGTTTTCTACCTTCGTGTACGTAAGACCTAGTCAAAGAGAAATACTTCGATGCCTTTGAATTTATCACTGCGGATAGAAGAACAATACAAAAAAATCCTGTAAAACCACCTATTAATTTTGCCATTACATTCGAGGTTCCTTGTGATTACTCTCTTCTTTTCTTTCGTCTTTTTCTTTCTAAAGAAGAATCAAAAAATATATATATATATATATATGAGGGCACGCGCAGCCAGTATTTGACACAGAGTTTGTCCCGAGGGCACGCAAACTGTCTGCTTGTTTCCTCTCCGCGTCCAACGTAGCTTCGCCGGGTTTGGTATCCTTCTTCGGTTCGTTATGCCGTAGAGGTTTAGGTTGTCACAATTATCAGCAGGTGCGGAGGAACGCCGGAACCGGAGACATCCCGAGCTTTCGCCTCGTTTCGCCTTCCGCTTTTGCTGTTAGCCGAGACACGTGACAGAGAGAGAGAGAGAGAGAATTCTCAGAGAAAAAGCTGCGGCCCGATTTCAAACGAGATTCACCTCGCTGCCTCGTCGAGAACGGCGACGTGTTTGCTTCCGTTTGCCTCGCGGCTCCCAAATTTTAACGATAATTCCGCGACATCTCGCGCTTTACCTCTCCCCATCCGCTAGACACTTGTTTCTCTTGATTCATGATTATTGCGCGTCTCGCCTTCTCCTCTCGGAATAGCAACTTTGCCCGCGAATCGGTAAATAGCACTAGGCATGAGTAATAAGTTTGGTATTTAATTCTTGCGCTACCGCGAAGGTCTGTATGTCCCGCGGAATTGGTTACTGTCGCCGTCGAGATTAAAACGTCCCGGAACAACGCAAATAAGCCGCTCGTTTGCCAAATAGATTAGCTGCACGAAAAAAAATAAATAAATAAATAAAACTAATAACACGGGTAAAACAGTGCGCGTTGTTTCTTAAAAGTTCTCTTTGAAATTTAAACGTCGTGAAATGCATCGTTACAGGCGTAGTTTTTATCTGATAGACAGAATGCATAAAACAGTGTATCCTTGGAATAATCATAACTTATTACTCTATGGTCAAAAGAACGGCCGAGAAGAAATTTGTACCAAAATTGATGTCAAAGTTTTAAAAAAATTCCAAAAGTACAGTTAACCGCTGCGCTTTGTGAACCAACTCGTAATTTTGTAATGATTCTGTAAAAAATTCAGTTTTATTCCTGAAGCTTTCTCTTTTCCATTTTGTACGAAATATCGAATAAAAGTTTGATGATTTATTAGTGTGTTTTTATCACCGTTGCGATAAAAGGGTCAAACAACTATAATAAAAAAAATTGATTACTCTCGATTAAAAAAAAAAAAATGAAAAATTTTATTTCCCAAGGTAGCAATGAATTCGACAGGGAAAAGGATAGAAAAAAAGGCACGAATCATCCAAAAGAGATCAAAAAATAACCAAAAGTTCACCAGTTTCCAGAACAAATTGAAAAACAATGCAGCAATGACTGAAGGTCAAAAAGAAATGTATGCTTAATTTTCCAGTTAGTTCAACGGAGTAGTAAGTCTGAAACAGAGCCACCGGTACTATTGAACATCGGACATCTAGCTACACGGAAATACTCGACTCTAAAATTATAGCATCGATTCAGACCAACTTAAAGTCATTCTTTGATTACATTAACGTAACGCGAATTTTCATTATCGTGCTCGATGTACGACGTCGCTATGTCGTATACCGCTAGAACAAACAGAATAAAACGATGGAGAAAAAAGGAGAGAGGAGAGAAAAAGAGAGAGAGAGAGAAACACGTCTTAAAATATTACATCGAGATTCGACCGAGGAAAGCACTCTTATCGGAAAATAACGAGCAGATAATCATGATCGGGCAAAATGCGAGAAATTATTACAGTTAAGTGTATCATTCCGTCGACTTGCTGTAATTACTTGGCCGCTGACTCGAGATTCATGAAACGAGTGCAATAAAAATAATGACATTCGTTCGAGGTCGGCCTGACGTACACGACTTATCGGCATCAGTTACAAA